ATGACATAATACTTAGGTGAGTAAAATGACTGAAATACGCACATATTTGAAAGCATTGGGTAACGGAAAAATGAAATACCCACTCAACATTCATAATACCCACTCCAAAAATACAGGGTACAGTACCCACATGAGCTAAATCTTATTTGGAGTCTGAATGGTGGGTGGGTATTGGGTATAGTCAATGGGAGTCATACCAAAGACTTTAAAATGTCGTTTGTTGTTACCCTGCCTGGCATTTAGGGGGAAAAACAGGGACTGGTCCACTCGGGGTCAGAATTTTCAGTCTGTTGGGGATTTATATTAAACTGTCTATGTGGGCTAGAACTATGAAGCCGGAATCAGGCCGGGCTACGCGTGGGTACATACACGCGACGTGCACCCCGTTTCAACTAACCTCGTTTCAGTCCGATCACTATAATAATAAGAATGAGTTTAAATCAATGAAAGGGTCATAATCAACTATAACTTCACGGGGGCGGTGGGGTAGCCTAGTGGTTAAAGCGTTCGCTAGTCACGCCGAAGACCCGGGTTCGATTCCCCACATGGGTAAAATGCGTGAAGCCCATTTCTGGTGTCCCCCGACGTGATATTGCTGGAACATTGCTAAAAGCGGCGTAAAACAATACTCACTTCACGAATGACCACGTAGAGTGTAGATGGCATTTATGTCCATCACCAAAGGAACAATCCCCTGCCATGATATTGCAGGAATAATGCTAAAAGCGGCGGAAAAACTCTCACTCACTCACCAAAGGAACATTCCTAGTAGTCTTGTTTTGTGTAGAACATGCTCACATATACAGATACCAGGGAAACCGGAAGAATTCCGTTGTCAAGACTTCTACCGTGGACTCATCAGTCAGACGAATTCACTAGACAGGGTAGTTTAACAGTTGGTACATGAATCAGTAGAGAAGTTTAAACAAACAAAAAACTTAGAGTGAGAGTCTTATACAAAATAAATTTACATGAATTCAATGAACAGAACAGAGCAACATATCATAGTTGTAAACAAGGTTAGTCTTCAGGCAAACATGTGTCGTTGACGCAATGCCAGACCGATGTCATCGTGCCTGCTGTGTAGATCTACACATTAACTAAATTAAGCGTAACGTCAAGATAGCGTTGTTTGTGCGGTTGTTTCCTGTTGGTATGGGAAGCTGAATGTACAGGCACGGTCAGATGATGATATTAAACGTCACCTATCCAACCACACCTCTGTCTCTGGTCAGACCTACTGGCGTCCAAAACAGTGTCCGCCATGTTTATCCCCATCTCTTGGCGACTTAGGTCGACTTGGGGCATTCTGAAGGACACGTTTGACATTGACGGAAAGGTAGAAACAAACAAGCCTCGAATATGTCGGAAACAATAAGCAGATCCTTTATCTTGATACGCATGTACCTATATCTATGACGGTACCCAATACAGAATTTTAAGGAGGCGATGTATCGAGTCAAATGGAGAGAGTGGGCTTGGTTTTAAGCTGCTGTTCAATATTTCAGCAATATGACGGCGGGGGACACCAGTGACTGGCTTCACACACAGTACCAATAAGTGACTGAGTGAAGTTTTATGCCGCTTTTCGCAATATGCCAGCAATACCATGGCGGGGGACACCAGAAATGGGCTTCACACATTATACCCATGTGGGGAATCCAACCCAGGTCTTCGGCGTGACGAGTGAACGCTTTAACCACCCAACTACGGTGAAACGGAGACGGTCCTTGATTCGATCACCCATTTGTCTGCTATTGTTCTAACCGTATCATGGTCCCCTGTAGCAATTATTTGGTAGAATTATTTGTTTTAAGCTGCTGTTAGCAATATTCCAACAATATCACGGCGAGAAACACCATGGATGGTTATTACCCAGAGAAAAAACTTCTCAGTTTCACACATGACAGCCATGGTTCCGGGTTCGAATCGGTCCCCAAACCTATTCTGGTTTTAAGATCGACCTAATGAATCGGGTAGCCAGGCTAAATGATTTAGTCGATTGCATACTATTGTTTCCTGACGCCGTGGGCCTTTGCTCCCTATATCAATCACTGGATTGTCTGGTCAAGATTCAATTATTAACAGGCCGCCGTCATACAGTTGAAATATTGGTGAGTGAGACGTTAAACAACAGCAAAATAAAACCACACACGAAAACCATTAGCCATAAATTGAACTTACCGTTGAGCACAGTCTCCGTGTAATATCCGATAGTCTTATTGCCTATAGTAATCGGAGGATCAGATTGAGCACAGTCTCCGTGATATCCGATAGTCTTATTGCATATAGTAATCGGAGGATCAGATTGAGCACAGTCTCCGTGATATCCGATAGTCTTATTGCATATAGTAATCGGAGGATCAGATTGAGCACAGTCTCCGGGTAATATCCGATAGTCTTATTGCATATAGTAATCGGAGGATCAGATTGAGCACAGTCTCCGTGACATCCGATAGTCTTATTGCATATAGTAATCGGAGGATCAGATTGAGCACAGTCTCCGGGTAATATCCGATAGTCTTATTGCATATAGTAATCGGAGGATCAGATTGAGCACAGTCTCCGGGTAATATCCGATAGTCTTATTGCATATAGTAATCGGAGGGTCAGATTGAGCACGCACATATCGGAAACACCCTTGCGTACATTTACAGTGTAGAATGTTATACCGAAATATCGCAGATGTAATTAAAGCAAAATGAGTTTACATAATTAAGCCTAAAAGTGAACCACAACTACCTGGCATATGTATCTAGTCCTCACACACAACCAGTATTAACAGTTAACACAATAATAATCAATAAGTTCACCATATTTCGTGTACTACATACGATTACTTTTAAGTAATTTGATAAATTAAAAATATTGACAAAGTGACTACAAGAACAATATCTTTAAGTGACAGTTTCAGGAAGAAAGGGTTGACTGCTTAACAAAGGTATCAGAACCCGTCGGGTTGAAAGAACAGATATGTTGAAATCAGTAAGTCAATCAAATCTTCAAGCAGAAAAAAATATAAGATATTTTCTCAGACGAAATAGTAAAAGTCAGTTACCGGTGTCTGTTAATTGTAGAATCATGAAAGGCCCGTATGTGTTTTCTATTCCCTCGTCCCTGTCTCATGAGAGTCGCCGCCACAACCTCCCCTGTCAGCAAGCACCACGCTTTGCCCGATCCTTGCCGTGTTTACATTATTATATCTTACTCAAGGCAACGAGGAGGCAAGCACTGCTGAAAAAAATCTTGCGGAATTCTAATTCTGACGGCCACGGGGCCCTGAGTTCGGTCCGAATTCCGACGCAAGATATACATAATGTTTGCATGGGTATGTGTTCACGGATCAGGGTTAGGCAGTGCATGGCGCCAAAACGCAACAGCTTCGTTGGTGACCTCACTTCAATACATCTGCGATAGTGACGAAGTTGTGGCCCTCTGCCAACGCTTTCAGTGTACGGCTTGATGGGAAATGCAGACAGTTACTTAGCATATTAGAAGGAAGACAGTAAGCTGTATAACAGAATGACAACCCATTCGCAAGCCATGAAGGTATAGTTGCATGTCGATGACTCAGTTTCAATGTATTAGTTGAGATCATCACGTTATTGATGCCAACGAAAAATATGTCATGAGTACATCATGCTTAGCACATCCCATTCTAAATGTTCTGCATCATACTTTGTTTACTAGTGTGTGAAGTTCGTTACAGACGACAAGTCACAGACTTGGAATTCCAGCAAAATAAGTAATTCTTAATTATCTTCCGTTGAAAATGGTATATCTTTTTTCTAACACGTCACCCACAGCATTTACGGTGCGTTCGGTGCATGCAACTGTACTTACGACCCGAAAGAAAACTTCAAGGGAGATTACTCTTGAATCATATCCATCGCAATGTCCATTGTCCAAAAAACTTGTTATTTCTATCGGAACAAGCTTCCTGTCCAACCTAAAACTAAGCAAATGTAAGTTTTAGCACATTCTCGAATATTATTTACAAATCGGATTTTTTGGACGAGACAAATTATTCCTAGAAAAACTTCCATGTTGTATTTTAGAAAACGATAAATAATAATTTATAACACAACAAATTACGAATTCTATTCACCAGGTCCTGAAATGACGCACGTGCTTCTCCAAAGAGTGAGTGAGTTTGGTTTTACGCCGCTTTTAGCAATATTCCAGCAATATGACGGCGGGGCACACCAGAAATGAGCTTCACACATTGTACCCATGTGGGGAATCAAACCCGGGTCTTCGGCGTGACGAGCGAACGCTTTAACCATCAGGCTACCCCACCGCCCGCTTCTTCAAAGAAAATAACAGGATCTACCAATGACGTGGTTCCTACTTACACTCCGATGTAAACAGACAGGCAAGTATAAAATTGGATTTGACAAAAACATTACAAATATGATCAAAACGTTCTTGGGCTGGAAACAATCAGCGGAACAATGAAGGCCCAAACACATCCATTATACCTTTAAAATTCATAACCGTCGACAGACCATTTTTTGTTCCATTCATTTTTAAACACCAACAAACATGAGTGTATATAATTTTCTTGTGCAAGCAGTTTAGTATGACCCACATGTAACCTGGATTGAGTGGTCAGTTTGTTTGTTCTTGTATAAGGCTGCATACAGCATATCCCCAGCTAAATGTAAATACATGTAAGTAAGTCTGGACAATCAATCTACGCAATTGGGATACGATGACATGTGTCATCCAAGTCAGCTAGCCTGACCACCCGATCCCCTTAGTCGCCTTTTACGATAATTATGGGTTGGTGAAGACCAATTCTAACCCGGATCTTCGCGTGTCGTCATAGTAAATGACGAAACCAAATTTGTGCTCCTACCCCGTCATATGTAGCGTTGCTGTAAATATCAACCAGTCTGGTCAAGACCCAAGTATTTATAGGAGTAATGGCTGGAATACAGCTGAGTAGTGCGACGTAAAACAGCAATCATTCTTGGCCTCGTCCTCACTTCATCCAGTTGTTTGTACTGTCCTTCGCCAACAGGTTTTATATTCTGAGTTTATGTGTCATAAATGTATAACTTGTTTTAGTCACTATATTGCGTAAATACTGTTGAATAATGGCTATAATACTACCCCAAATCTGAACTCATACCAGCACATGCGATATAAAGATTATACACCATATTGTAATCCCTAAACTGCCCAGGTCTCACTGTCCGTTCATGAACTAATACATCAATTGAGTGACGTTAACAATACAAGATAACAAACGCCTTTTCTCATCAGCTGGAAGTGGAGGGGGAGCATTAAACGAATAAATAGCCTGTATTTTTATGTGGTCATTAGGTAACGATTCCTACGTACCAAGCGTTCGGCAAACACATATACACGCCCTCAAATTGCACGTGCTCGTGACAGACGGTGAACCGTTTTCAAATGCTTGCTGTATCCCTGGAAGCCATATTACAGAATGAAGTATTGCAAACTCATTGAAATATTTTAGTTTATTTGCGTAAGCAGGGCTTCCATGAGGAACTGTGCAGAGGCTAGGAGTGCAATCAACAAGCAGTGCTGCTCTGTGAAATCTAGTCAGGCAGGAAGGGGAGGCTGAAATGTTTGAACGTCGAATGCGCACGGCTGATATAAGAATAACGAGTTTAACACAATTCTGTTTAGCGAATTTCGATGAAATCTTGAGGATATCATTACATATACCCTAAAATAGCATGGCCATGTCCCGTGAAGAATTTCACAAGCAGGTATGGACATACAGCGGTGAATCGGGGCTATTTATGTGACAAATTGCTTTAAACTATGTTAAATATTATCGTCAATGCTACAGGATAATCTGTCTAAGCAGATTCCATTAGGCGTAAAGGTCAGCATATTGCTAAATGGGCGTAAACGGCAAAATATGTTATGGAATATTTAAAATATATTAACCTCAAAACAGGAAAAGGAGTCTTCATGACACACCAGGAAATATTTGAAATGTTTAGTTTAAAACGGGAACGAGTATACGTCATTTGCAGGAAATGAATTATTTTGGGCGATTTAAAAGAACGATTCCAAAGATACCAGGAGATGGGTGACTAAGCTGTCCTCATCTAGCAAGGATTCATCAACAACAGATGATGAAATCTTTGAACGGCATTTAGAATTTATTAATTCCTGGCTTCTATTTGTCCATTCCTCTTACATCTTCAGCGCTAATTGACTACTGGCTTCCATTGTTATCTTATCACCGTTGTTGTTTCACATATACTTATATAGCTATCTCCCATTTCTGGTGCCCCTAGCCGTGATATTGCTGGAATATTGCTAAAAGCGGCGTAAAACTAAACTCACTCACTCTCTCACTCTATATATAGCTGTCTGTTACCTTGTTTTCTCATTCACCCGATGAAGGTGTAAGACCATAGTCCGAAATGTCGCGTGCCCCAAAATCAAGAGTTGACATCAATAAATTCTCGCCTTTAACAGATGATGAAATTGTAGAAAAATAATATAACAATATTGGAGGTGTTTACGGATAAAAATCATGCATATTTTGAAAAATGCAACAGCCGGATGTCCGTTGACAATATATACACCGCAAAAAACGACTTCCTAGAGTAAAGTACCGTTGAATAACTTCTTTATAACATAGAGAATCTGATATGGTTGTGGAGTCAGTAAAACTGCGCAGAGGTATCTTGACAATAACGTTGTTCCTCACACAATTCTCTCTCGTATCGGAACGCCATATGGAGACCTCCTATAATTGTGGTTAGTGCTATTTCGGTCTGCATTACAACGGCTTATATAACGACAAGTGCTCCAACATGCTCACACTCACTCCATCACTGAATACCCCCACTGCCTACCCTATCTAACTCTCCTAACGCCATGATGAGCTGTAAATACGAATGAGTGAGTGAGTGAGTTTAGTTCTACGCCACTTCTAGCACTGTTCAATATCACGGCGGGGGACACCATTAATGGGCTTCACACATTGTACCCATCGGGGAATCGAACCCTGATCTTCGGCGTGACGAGTGAACGCTTTAACCACTAGGCTACCCTACCGCCTTAAGTACAAATTAACTTGAGTTGTAAACTCATCCTACTGAAAAATCATCAGTTGTGAAATTTCGGGAAACTCAGGCTTCTTAACGCTAACGGTTTGGTTGCCAACCAACAATACCATACCAATTATCGGATTTTCACTGTATTTTCCAGGCAGAGAAAACACTTCGACTCAATACATTTTCTCGGGATGCGGTTTGGCAGACTTTCATACAACTAATCCTATGATAAACAATTATGTCGCAGCTATTTATCACTTCCTTGTCTCAGTGCAGTTGCACGAAGTATGATAATTATAACTAAATGTTAAAGAAAAATATTAGTTACAAAACCATTCACTGCAGATACAGATCGAAGATTTATTACAAGGGATAGTCACCGATGAATGTCGGGTGCCAGTCAAACGCATCTTTATTGTGGATGTGTCGTATGGAAGTTATTATCGTAAGCCAAGCCTCATGCGTTACCATCAAAAGTGAGCATTCTTTCCTGTCATACTACCAGCAATAATGATCTATGGTGTAATATAGTGCATTTCAAGCCCCCCCCCAAAAAAAACAACAACAACAAATCATAACAAAACAAAAAAACTCCGATGCACTGTGTTTGTATTTAAAAAAGCAGAGTGTTGATGGTGGTGTGTGGAGTTTGGCTGGGGTTGAGCAGTGCGCTGCATCAGAGTTCACATCAAACAGTTGTGTGTTGTGATTATTGTATCAAAGGTACTCCAGACAGGGTTGGTGCGTGCGAAGTGCATCCAACGTTCCTGGTGCAGTAATTGCCACAATAATTTTATGGCCCGTATAAATTAGGACTTGAAAGTCTTTTTGCCTGTGTTTATGATCTCGCTTGATACTGATAGCATGATGTAACTGTATGTCTGGGTAATATATTTTGTTTGAATGTAAATTATAATGTAATTACGTGTTTATTTTTGTAGGTGCATTATTGAGTATTAAAATACATGTTTTTCATATTTCTATAAGTGTTTTCATGTTATAAGTATAGAGTCAATCGAGCCATCCTTGACGGTTCATTCTTGAACAAAATGGCAACCATTAACACGTTTGCTATCATGTAAGTGGAGTAATTCGAGCTGTTTATGTGTATTAATACACGTCCCTAACGCAATTAGTCCGGAATGAAGGGGTTCGGTATAATGGGGTTGCACTTTATTTTGTCACGGTGTTTTTGTCATTCCATTGTAATATTACGCCACACTTCCGATGTTGTAACACATCTACGTCTACTCACTCATCGGCGGTGGGGTAGCATAGTGGTTAAAGCGTTCGCACTCGTCACGCCGAAGACCTGGGTTCGATTCCCCACATGGGTAAAATGTGTAAAGCCCATTTCTGGTGTCCCCGCCGTGATATTGCTGGAATATTGCTAAAAGCGGCGTAAAACTAAACTCACTCACTATTTACTGATCAATTGAATTAGTCATTATAACCAGGGTATTGGGAAGCCGTTCCATCTCTGTTAATTTAATTTCCCATTTAACAGATAAATGTGTCAAAACATTACATACTTCCTATGAATTCTGTAACTTGTAATTTCTGGCTTATATCAATAACTATAAATACAGGTAATATGTCTTCCTTGTATCTTCTAAAACGTTGCTTATCTTTCCTTATCTGATTTGGGCCAAGCACTTCCCTGGAAGTCTGGTTTGTAAGTAACGGGACTCAGAAATAACATATTAATTACAACAACAAAAATACAAGCAGGTAATGAAAGCTATTACTGTACACCAAACGATATATTAAAGGTAGAACGTTCATAAAACGCATACAGTTAAATACAAAACTGTGGTTGTTCAAACGCGAGTATATTGTACATGTATATCGGAACCTCAAGCAGTGTCGTCTTTTAACACTGGGGCAGTTTGATGCCGGGAGATAGACCCTCTTATTCCACATGTCTACAGAAGGCAAACAACTGGCTGATTATGGAGGATATCACATGGAGGGTTCATTGTTGTCTGTATAAGACTGCTACAGAGTTTCTAATTATACAATACAGCAAAGTCGGCGCATATTTTCGGCGGCGTTCCCGGTACACGGCACCGAGTACAACGACCCTAATTAGGAACAGAGCTGTATTAAAATGGGGATTCTAGCACTGAGCGGTGCACCCAAACACGCCCTTGTCCTCATAGTGAAATAAGTTTGTTTTCCGCCGCATTGATCAATATTTTCATTATCTCACGTTGCTAGTTTGATTGGGCAAAAAGCAAAACGTGATGCAGGTCTCAGACGTTTAAATAGTGAAACCTTTCCTGCTTGGTGCTGAGAAACATAGCGACATTTCTGGGATGTAAACCCACGAATATGTAGTTTCCTGGCAGGCGCCAAGGGGTTACTCTTGCACAACGAATATCTTCGTCCTGGACAACTGTGCCAACGCAGTTAGCTGTGATCTAACGTGGCTTTAGACAAGAGCTTCGTAACACGGAGTCTTTGAAATACTGCACATTGTAACAAGCATTGTTTCACGTTGGAGAAGCAACCACTGGAAAAGTGACGTCATATACAGCCATTGTGGCATATAATTGAAAACAATTTCATCAAATAACGTCACATAGGTCTATGACGTCCTTTTGATTTTTCAAATGACGTCATGCAACAAAAGACTGAACTAGGTTTTGTCTACGTTCTTCTACATTTCTTTGTAAAGAAAGTTAGTTTCACTAAGAACATTTAATCCCCGAGACTGTGGAACTCGTTGGTTCTTCTCTATTTCTATTACAAAATTTCATGGACACTTTTCCTACCAATGCCACAGTTCGAGTCGACGGTATTTTCAACAATAGAGCGGTGACCTACATAACACCGGATAATAGAGGGTGCCATGGGAGGTGTACAGGTTTAATAAAAACACTATACGGAAATGACATTTTGTCGGATCCGTTTTGATCCGAACTCAAGATCGGGCTTCACTCTTTAGGTGAGCTAACAGAGGCCTATGCAGAACTACTAATTATAGACAAGCAGTTGTACCTTGATGTGGAAATACCTGCACTCATGTTGTTATATGTGATGAACGGTGCACCCGCTACAGACCAAGTACACTTCTGAAGATCGCCTTGGAATTTGAGATTAGTAAGATTGTGTTATGAATGCCAGATTGTGTTGTGAATGCCAGATTGTGTTGTGAATGTCAGACTGTGTTATGAATGCCGTATCATTTCTTTACTTTGTTGTTTTGCACTTCAGCGCTACCTGCGCATGCGTTGTTGGGTTGGGTGCGGAGCTCGGATGAAAGCACGTGCAGTTACATGATTGAAAGGGACCGCACACCGGGTATGAGTGCAACTGCGAGTAGGGTACACATTCACATTACCTGACGTGGATTCACTGGATGTATATTCATGTTATGTTGAAACTGAGTTCAGTATGTGCTAACTATAGAACCAGGGGCACCGGGTATACCTAGCAAAGAATATACCAAGAAATGCATCACCCTTTGTCTGGGGTCGTCGACCAGGGTTGAAGTGGAGCCACGAGTACTCTCTGTACTGTTTAAAACCGCGATGAACCAAACTCACTCACTCGTTTAGGGACCTTGGTATATGATAGGAAGGATGGGCGGAAATAAACATAATATAGTTCAGGGCTATAAAACAGACTAGAGTGTAGGGGTGTTCTTGAACTACAATATGCTTGCACACATTTTGGGAAACAAGTGCGTGTTTTTGCTATAAATTGACCGTTGTTACCTTGTTAAATATATACGGGATGGTCGAAATAGAGCATAATATAGTTCAGGTACAACAAAACAGACTAGGGTGTTCTTGAACAACAAAATGCCCGCATGCATTTCGGGAAACAAGACTGACTGACTGAGTTTGGTTTTACGCCGCTTTTAGCAATATTCCAGCAACATCACGGCGGGGGGACACCAGAAATGGGCTTTACACATTGTACCCATGTGGGGATTCGAACCCGGGTCTTCGTCGTGACGAGCCAACGCTTTAACCATTAGGCAACCCCAACGCCCCAAGATTACGATGAACGTCGGACACACGTCCTTGAACAGAAACGGAGTGGTGTGTGTGTGAGGTGGTGGTAGTGGTATGTGTGTGTTGTTTAAACGACCAAAATATAGAAACCGTTTTATTTTGCTGAAACATCTCTGAGATTAAAATCTAAAAATCCAAGAATACCCGGGTCTTCGGCGTGACGAGCCAACGCTTTAACCACTAGCCTACCCCACCGCCCCCGGGAAACAAGAGGGTTTCTTAGATACTAATTAATCAATCAATTGTTACCTTGCTAAAGATGAATAATTTAGTTGTGTGCTATTTCATACATGACAGGGGTGGTGGGGTAGCCTAATGGTAAAAGCGTTGGCTCGTCACGCCGAAGACCCGGGTTCGAATCCCCACATGGGTACAATGTGTGAAGCCCATTTCTGGTGTCCCTCGCCGTAATATTGCTGGAATATTGCTGAAAGCGGCGTAAAACCAAACTCAGTCAGTCAGTCATACATGACCATGCAGTATGGTTAGAAACGGGGGTGCGCTCACAACCCCCTGATTCGAGCATGTACCCTTCGATCTATATGTTTATAATAAGATATAACTGTACATGATGATGGAGTACTCCGTACTGTGTATGTCCACAACTTAAAGGGTTAACAATCATCGACAGACAGGCGAATGACGTAACAAGAACAATGTACAAAAACATGGTTTAATCTATACTTCTCGAAGCACAGATAGTATACATACAGATGCTGATAGCGGTTGACAGCTGGGTGGGTCGTTCATGACTAATGTGACATCATCGTTGAGTCTACATGAATCAGGGTATCCTTTAATTTAAGTCCAGGAGAACCGTACCATAATATTCAAACAAAGTACATTAAACTACGTTTATAACAACACGTTTATGAATAACTGACGGATATTACGAACTGTTTTTGGTCCCAGCCACTTGCTGTGTATTTTAGTATAAATGCGTATAACGAACTACTGTTATAACGAACGAAATTCAGTGGTCCTTTTGAGTTGGTTATATTCGTTAGACTGTTGTTTTCTGTAGTGGTATCAATACAAACGGGTAATTCATTGAAAATAATCAGAAATTTAACTGACGGTCATCTTTTAAGAAGTCTCAAGAGTCTCGTTATGATATCAGTGTACTGTTACGCCGCAGACAACGGTGCACATAGTCTGTCGTACAGACCCTGAACCAAACATATCTAAGAAAGCCCAAGCAAGTCTAGATGACGTGGCAGTCTAGATTTCCACAGTTTCAGGGTCTCTGAAAATGAACAGGTCTCAGGGATCCTTTTCATTAAGTTCTATTTTTTTATTATGAACTGATATTTTTCTCTGTAAAATATGTTCATTTCAGAGACTAGTTGTTAGCCTAGGGTTCACAGTAAAACGTCCTGCATGAATTGACGAAGTTCGGTTTAACAAATCATTGGTTTTATTTACAAATTATGTGTCGGGAAGTGGATTCACCGGACTGAAGGGATCGAAATTAATGAGGACTGGTGTCACTTAGAAAGACACAAACACATTTTCGGATTCGGTGTTTCATTATACCCTATGATGTATTATAGCTGTGCATGGTGGTGCACCATGAGATTAGTGAGGTGAGGTGGATCATTATACCCTATGATGTATTGTAGCTGTGGTGGTGCACCATGAGATTAGTGAGGTGAGGTGGATCATTATACCCTATGATGTATTGTAGCTGTGGTGGTGTACCATGAGATTAGTGAGGTGAGGTGGATCATTATTGCACTTACTGTATATTGCCACGTCCGTGCACATGTGTGTATGGTAGATTTCACTAGTCCAGACTGATGTCAGTTTTATAGTGCCAGCCCACTAAGATACCATGCAGCAGTATAGCATGGATACCCAACTCTGTATCCTGGCTGAGAGCCTACTAGTCCGTGTTTTATCCCAGGTGACGAGCACCAGGCAGGGCAACAAAGAGTAACGTTTCTTTTGAATGACGCTGCCGGGTCGAACCAACAATCCTCTCCATTACACCATGAACAAATATACTTCTCATTACATAATTCTGGATACGGTGATGGCGTAGGTCGTAAAATTACCAAGGAGCTTAACTGCAAACTTTTCCGAAGTTTCGCTATCTAAAATGTAGCTTTATCAACGTTTATGCAAGTGCACTTTACATCACTCATACGATATGGTTCTAACACATGCACCTTACCACCTCGACATGATCTAATCATGTTTACTGATGGGTAAAAATGCGTCTGGTAATATACTATGTGTGTATTGAGTTGCAAGGTCAAGGTTTCGTCATGACAATGCCACGTTTTCTATGAGACTATCGTCAGGACGTAGCAGAACTAATAAGAAGGATTGGCCTCATAAGCTTTTTTTCCATGTTTCTTTCATCTATGTTGATTCTTTAACGAGAGTGGCTGGTGCTTTTTTGTGACATCTTAAATGCCGCGTCCAACAAAACATGCACATCGCCATAAAGTAGAAAATAAAACAGCAGTTAAGACCCGGTAACGCTATATTGATGATAAGTTTTGGGGGTAATATTACCATCACCGATATGACAAAAGCCAGTATAACGTGAAGAAAGGTAACGTTTACACTTGCCAGGTGAATCACAAGTCTTCCCCCAACCAGTGTTATGTACACATAACCGATGGGTACCATGTGTCGATACACTCTCAGCATATTCAGTTTCAAACAGAGCGGTCGTTCTCTGTACCAACTGACCCTTAACCTACCGGGTTTGCACTGACGAAGGTCAACAGACGGAGTATACTAACTACTATAGCAGAAGACGTACACTCGGTGAAGTGTAATATTTAACCTTGGTTGATTTAACACCATATCATCCCAAATACCAGCAGTGACTAAATACAACATATATAGTGGTGTATAATTTTCTTATATACCTACTTTCATATAGGGCTATTTACAGTGTACGAAATACGTCTTAATAATGGTAGTTATCTATTTTAACATACCAAGTTTGGGTAAACATTTAATCCCTGACAAAAAAGTTATATTCTTTAAAAATATGTATCCACAAAAATAAATGAAAATCAAAATAGGTCCAGGACAATTTTTAAGCTAAGAGACTAACCTAATCTGAACGGTTCTATTCTAGACTTGAAAAATCAATTTTGACATGATTTGGAAAGATTTTAAATCCTGTGAGTCCATTTTTTTTCACATAGCTTTATTTCATGAAAGAATTATAGAAATGTATTTAATATAATCACCTACCCGTCTTAACAATCATAGTAATTACTTGCTTGTCTCCTATTCATTAGGGGCGGTAGGGTAGCTTAGTGGTTAAAGCGTTGGCTCGTCACGCCGAAGACCCGATTCCTCACATGGGTACAATGTGTGAAGCCCATTTCTGGTGTCCCCCGACGTAATATTGCTGGAATATTGCTGAAAGCGGCGTAAAACTTAACTCACTCACTCACTCCTATGTATTAGGGACTGGAACTCTTTGCCTTAATAAGATATTAAAATACCATGTCGTCATGTTGTGTGCTGTTTAACGCAACACTCGCCAATATTCCAAGCACACGACGGCAACCTGTAAGCACTCGTGTCTGGACCAGATGAACCAGTGATTGATAGCGTCAGCATGGTGCAGATGGAATACGATGACGCGCAAGTCACACATCTTGAACACCCGATCTGTTAACATGATCTTACAAGGTTTTCGGTGACCTCGGAGTCAACAAGGAAACAACGTTTACTTGACCAATAAACTCAGCGAACACCTGTCCTGGTCACCTACCTTCTACTGCCACGTGCACTTGTTGACTGATTAGTGTGGTGCAGAAAAACCATAAAGACTTTGGCTCAATATTCTTACATTTCAATAATCAGCTATTACACCAAGTACAGTCATATTCCAGGTGATTAAAAGGTAATATAAATGTATTAAACATGTTGTTATGAGTTAAAACGGATATCAATAATGGGGCAAGATATGTATAAAACCTATTATATCGGAACAGCAGGTAATGAACGGCAGGGTATAAATGCATATATCGTACAGGTGCCGGATGTTTCGTTAACTGATTTTAGGACTGTTTCAAACTTATAACTAGTCAGCAAACAAATAGTTTCAACGTAAAGACTGTAACAATTACCTCCTTCAAAACTTTCCTGCGGGATCTGAATATTTCCGGATCCGTCCTATCATTCATTTCAAGGCCGAGGTGAGGTATTACATACAGGAGTGGTTGTAAGGAATGTAGCATCTGGCATTCACATGTAGTTATGATGATTAGCACTCGAGGGCGTAATTACCCCCCCTGGGAAGAGGTGGGGGTGGATATTCATGACACATATGTCTTACCTGTGATGTTTAAAGAAGATGTTTACTGGTACAGTGCACCCCATGTCAATTGTGTTGTCTATGTCAAGATTGAATTTCAAGGCAAAAACGTTAAAAATGTGGTATTAAAAACCCTGATTGCTTGTAAATATGTTGAGAAGGTTGTTTGAGACTATGTTTGATCATTCAATCATCATTATCAACTATGTACAGCAATTAACATTCCGTTTCAGTGTCGTCCGACAGTACTTGACGCAGAATCACTACATACTTAGTACAGGGTGTGCTGGGACAGCAGAAACACCCTGTAACTGCCCGCTCGCCATATATGGTGGCCAGTCATACTGAAGGTGCTTATGTCTCTTAGAGCAAGTGTTTAGATGTTCGCAAAACCTCGCACTGAGTTTCACCTTTTCAGCCCCACCATAAATAGTTGTGTGGAAGATGTAATTAGTATCTTCGAATCAAAAACGGAAATGCCATTCGTCGCCACTCGTATATTTCCGTAGCCTACCATTCGGTTTGCCTCGGAACAGCACTAGTTGGCCATGCATGATATCGTGGAGAATATTGAAACGTTTTTTGATGATTACTGTTCATGTTTGATTTTTTCAAGTTATATTTTCATTTAATTGAACTGCAATCTCTAACATTAATCAAACACTATTTGAATATTCATACTAATCCTTGACATGTATAAAAGATTAAACCCATTTAAATCAACAGCAGGAGTCAACAGCTAAACCTCCCAATGGATTATCACTCAAAAGTTTATTGTTAAACAAAACTCAAATTTTGCGCGATTCGAGTTTTGCGATGAAACTTCAAAGTGAAAACGTTCTTGCTAATATAAAAATTTCAACAAATGGAGGTTGACAGAAATCCCAAAAGGCTAGGCATTAATACATACATAGAACTAAGCAAGGTCAAACTTTACAATGTTTAAACTTTGCTTCACTTTACGTCAGAGGCGTAAATCCTTCTAAAACCCACACACAAATCTACTCTGACGTGGACTTACGATAGTTGTAGCACAAGCATGGTTCTTTGGACGGAGCGCTGAAACACACCATAACTGTGGCCATGTGTACCCAAGGGCGAATTCTACAACATATGGTAGGACATCAATGAAATACGCGTAACACGAAATGCATACGAACAGGTGCGATGGAACACAAAGTGAGAGTGAGTTTCGTGTAACGCCACTTTGACCAGTATTCGGTTTATATCAAAGCGTGATACCTCTATGTCGGAGCAGGACAAGAGAGTTTCAGGCCCCGATTTCTCGAAACAAACTTAAGTCTGAGTTTAAACTTAAGTTAAACTCAAATTTGAGCAAAAGCAGGAAAATACGTTTCCCAGAATAAACTGAAATGGGCATAAAACTCAAACTTAGTAGACAATTTGAGTTAGGTAGATAAGTTACATGAGTTATTTTGTCTTTTTGGTTTTAGAAAGGCGACTGAGTTAGAAACTTAGCTGTTTAAAATTGTCAAACTCATTTTGATATTTGAGTAAAAAATGTTTGTTACAAGAAAACGGGGCCTATACATTTAGCACTTCGACACGCCCTACTACAACTCTAGAACCTAAGTCGGGGAAACCGGGATTCGAACCCAATGGGTTTCTTGTGCACCTGGGGGATGCACAGGAATTTGCGGTGCCTGAGACCATTGGCCCATCCGTGCTTGTCGGACATTAGGACATCCGACTACCTCCAAACATGGAGTTGCTTGAAAAAGCAGCCTCGCCATCTTGAGTTGACCTTCATACAACGTTTGAATGCTTGTTATTTAACCCCGCACTCGGCAATATTCCAGCAATATGACGGCAGTCTGTAAATAATCAAGTCTGGACCAGACAGTCCAGTGATCAACAGTATGTGCATCGATCTACGCAATTGGGATACGATGCCATCAGCGAGCCTGACCACCTGATCCCGTTTCGAATTTGTCCTTCAGTGGACAATATTTCTGTAATTTCCCTTTTGCGACATAGAGCGAATACATGCAAAGAAACTCTCTAATTTCGAAATGGAAAGATGATTTCAGTCGTTTTTCTTCAAAATCGAAGCCCCCGCAGTGATATTGCTGACAATCGCCCAAAGCGGCATAACACTACAGAGCACCATGCTACAAAAACTGCCGTACAGTATATGGTGGGGGATTAGAACCATGGTCGCGTTATACCGAAGGACGTTAACAGGTGACTGTTGTTATCTGGCCTTCCTGGCTCCTGGCGTGAAGTGGGCAAAAGCAGGGACTACTGGCCCGCTAGAAGTAGGTATAATGTGTTTGAGAGCTTTATTCTTACAAAGGTATCACAATGGGCGAACACTACAAAAAAACAAATCTGGACTATACATGCACACACGCACGCATACATGCACTGTACAACGCGACGATAAGGCTCATTACACATAACCTCACTACAAAGTTTGGTTGTTGTTTTTGTTGGGGTTGGTTCGTCCCGCCGAATACCCGCTTTCGTTTTCCCAGATGGGTACAATGCGTGAAGCCCATTTTTTGTGATATTGCTGGAATAATGCTAAAAGCGACGTAAAACCACAC